TAAAAAAACGTTTGCTCTAATAAAATGAAAAATAATGAAAATAAAAATATGAAATTTAGCATTTATAATGCTTTTATAATGCAGAATTCAAAAAATGCACTTAGAATGCTGAAATATGAGCAGAACATGCTTTAAAATTAAAAACACACCTAATTTATATATTCAAACTTAGGGGTCATATATCTCAAAACACCCCCGTCTAAATTTTTTTTTTTTTGCTTTTAATATTTTTAGCTACTTATTATCTTACTAGGCACAAAAAACCTAACTGGAAAAACAACTAAAACATATAGAACCATAGTTTCCAAGATACACCACTTTTATGGGTGCCCATAACTATTTTCTAACGAGGGGGAGGGGTGAGGGAACAACAAAATATTTTTAGTGATGTTCTAATTTAGTTCAATTTACCAAGAATACTTAAAAAAAAGCATATTGCAAAAGACATGGTGAAAACAACTTTTTTTTATTACAGTTAGAGAGGAGGAGAATAGTGTTTCATAACACCTGGCATTGCCATATCTCTGTCATTTAAACCATTTAACCAATAAAACATATCAAACTACTTTGTATGAACAGTAGTTACTTAGTAGTGATAAGTTGTAGATGAGTTAAAAAATAGAAAGTAGGATTAAATCCACTGAGACATCATTGTTATCTCTTATCAAGCTCCAATTATCCTACAGCCAAAGATTTGGAAATATCTAATACTATATCATTATTTAATATATTTAAAACTAGAGCTTTTTTTTTTACTGAAAACTAAGTAGGAAAGATCTTTTTTTTTTTGTATCCTTCGAATTGCTTTTTTCTTACTGCAAAAGCATTCAATACACTTCATTGCAAACTAATTAAAAAATTAAAAGGGTATGGCTAAAGATAGTACATGTGTAGCAAATTATAGAATTCTGTAAAGAATTAATTTTGGTTAATAGACTTTTTATATATTTAAGGAAGTCTTAATTATATGATAACTTAATTATATGAACTTAACAACTGAAAAAACATCCGGTTTTGTTTATATATAAAAACATTTTATAAAAAATAATTGTTATGTTAATATGATATTTTTTTTAATTTTGACAACTATAGTTTGTAAAAGTTTATTAAAAATTAGTTTATAAAAGTTCAGATATAGAACAACATTTATTGGTAAGATTATATTTAAATTTTAAAAAATTAATAATTTAAATAATATAATTATTTAAAAACTTCTTTTTTTACAACATTTATTAATATTAATAATAATAATATTAAGAACAACATTTATTAAAAATTATATTTATTAAAAAACTTTTTTTACATACAATTAAGTAGAAGAATTTTATTTTTATTTTTAGGAAATACTTTCATACTAAATAATTTATCTTATTAAGATGTGTTCTATTGGGTTAATGACATCAGATGCTTGCGAAGGCCAACAAGACGTTATTGAAACTTTAAGCAATGAAGAAAAAATAATTATATCTTTACGCTGTAATATTGAATTATCAAACTTAGAAATATTATGTGAAAGACATAATACAAAATATTTGAAAATGTATCCTATATGGCAGAAAGCTTGTTGTGATCCATTCAATAGACATACAAAGAAAATCACAAGTATGTAGCTGTAAAATTTAAATATTTCATTAATTTATATTTTTCAAAAAATAAACGAAAGTTTTGAACTAATGTGCAGACATACTTTATACAATTCAATTACTTTTAGAAAATCTTGGCGTAGTTACAATAAAAGAGTCACAAGTCATGATGAGAAATTGTTTGAATATTCCTCCTGGGAAGAAACTTTGCAAACCTTGTAAACAAAAGATTGCCAGAAAAAAAGAACTTACAGAAGAGGAGCAAAGTAAGAGTGAACAAGATGAGGATTTTCTAATATCACCATGCAAAAAAATAAAACAGGAGATCAATAAAGAACTCAAAAATTTTAGTTTATCTCCTCTAAAATCTCATTCAAAATCATTAAAACATATACTGTCAGAAGGAAAGCAAAAAGTTGCATGCATCAACGAAATGGCGTATAACGCTACTAGAAAAATTGAAACTCAATTTTCCTCAAAACTATGTTATGAAACCAATGGGATGAAAAAGAAGGCTGCAAACTTTGATGAAATTATGAGCTTGGTAAAAGAAAAAATTCTATGTTCTGACAAACGAACTATTGTTCAACTTCTAACACTGGCACCCCCAAGTTGGTCAATATTAGAAGTACAAAATAACTTTTCGGTTACAGAATACCAGGCCAAGATGGCTAGAAAAACTTTTAATAAAAAGGGATTGTTAGGTATCTCTCCATTGTATAAGGGTAAAGTCTTACATAAAGAAATAGAAGATTCAGTTAAATTGTTTTATGACTCAAGTGATTTATGTCGAACTATGCCTGGAAAAAAAGATTATGTCAGCATTCAAAAGAACGTCCACAAACAAAAAAAACTGCTTTTGTGTAATTTAAAGGAACTATATGTATTATACAAAGAAAACAATCCAGAAATACAAATAAGTTACTCAAAATTTGCTTCACTTAGACCAAAGTGGTGCATTTTGCGAGGTGCAAGTGGTACACATTCTGTTTGTGTTTGTTCTTATCACCAAAATGCCATTTTGCTAGTGGATGCCTTAAATATTGAACTAACGTATAAGGATTTACTTTTGAAAACTGTTTGCTCAGTAGAAAACAAAGAATGCATGCTTGCACAGTGTGATAATTGTCCTGGTAAAGAACTGCTCACCATGTATTTGTATGAGATTTTTGGAGAATACGAAGATGATTTTGAGATACACTACAAACAATGGCAAACTACTGATCGTGCAACACTATTGAGTTTAACAACAGATGTTCCAACGTTTATTGAACTATTGGTATCTTGTTTTGAAAAGCTACAATCTCATTCTTATATTGCCAAATCTCAATCACAATACCTTAATCAACTAAAAGAAAATATGGATAATTCAAACATTATCATTCTTGGCGACTTTGCTGAAAATTATGCTTTTGTAGTCCAAGATGAAATACAGAGCTATCACTGGAACACCCAACAATGTTCTTTACATCCATTAGTGATATACTATAAAGAAGAAAATGGTGTAGTGAAACATATTTCTTACTGTTTTATATCAGACGACATTACACACGATGTAACTTATGTATACAAGATATTTCAACTAATTATACCAATATTAAAAACAAAATTTCTTGATTTATCCAAATTGCATTTATTCACTGATGGTTGTGCAGGACAGTACAAAAATTGTAAAAGCTTTTACAATCTATGCCAACTAGAGACAGAATTTTCCCTCAAAATTGAATGGAACTTTTTTGCCACGTCCCACGGAAAGTCACCATGCGATGGAATTGGTGGTACTGTAAAAAGGTTAACAGCACAAGAAAGTTTAAAACGACCATACAGAAACCAAATTCTCACATCAGAGGCTATGTATGAATTTTGTGTTGAGAAAATTAAGGCTGTTAACTTCATTTACATAAAGGGATTGGACTTACAATTGCAACGTGAAAAGCAAAAAGAAAGGTACACTGATGTAACAACTCTACCAGGTACTCGTAGCTTTCATCAATTTATACATCTTGGAGATAATAGGGTTGGGGCGAAGAGGTGTAGTACAGACACTAAATATACAATAATTCACAATCTTAAAAAGAAACATATATTTGAACCTGATACTGTCACTTTAGGAGGTTATGTTGCGGTAGTTTATGATGATAAGTGGTGGATCGGCATTGTTACTGAAATCAACCTAGAAGAAGTTGATGCTGAAGTTAAGTTTCTCCACCCAAGAGGTCCATCAATCTATTTTAACTGGCCTGAAAGAGACGATCACTGTTTTATTCCTAACACAATATATTGAAAAAACTATCTGTTCCACAAGCTTGCTCTAGTTCTGGTAGAAACTATGTGTTTGAAAATGTTGAAATAGAAGAAGTGCAAGTAAAATGGCAACAATATTGTGAACTATTACAAATACAGTCAAAATAACTTGCACATTCGATACCTTTAAAAATCTTGTATATTTAAGTAACTTTGTAAATTAGGAATAATTTATTTTAATTGAATTTATAAAAATTTTTTAGGAATTTCTTAAAAAAGTTATACATCTTTAAAATTAAAGTTCTATATGTTTCAGTTTTTTTTCCAGTTAGATTTTTTGTGCCTAGTAAGATTATAACTAGCTTAAAATATTGAAAGCAAAAAAAAAAAAAATTTGACGGGGGTGTTTTAAGATATTGGGCCCTAAAGTTAGATTATATAAACTAGTTGATTTATTAATTTTTAAGGATGTTCCTCTAACATTTCAGCATTTTAAGTACATTTATTGAATTCAGCATTAAAAAACCATTATAAATGTATATTTTTATATTTTTGCCATTTTTATTTCTTATTTTATTGAGGAAAACAACTTTTCAGAATGTTATGAAAACCGGGTCATTTTGAGAAACCAGGTCCAAATTAAATTTGCTGTATCTTGTCAACCGCTTGACATTTTTAGCTGAAATTTTGCATGCAATATTTTTTTATAAATAGAAATCGTGTGTCAAAATATAAAACAAAAAGAAGACACATGGTTCAATGGAGTGGGTGATTTGATGTGGAATTACCCTTAAGTGAGTATGCTAATACATTTTAAATGAGTGCGCTAATACTTTTAGCACGCTTAATTTCAGACATTTTTACGAGTAGTCATTAAACTTCTAATTAATTCATAAAAAAACAAGCAGGTTGACAAGTATTTGACATTATAATTAAATTTAATTGCTTTTACCTTTCGTTTTAAAAAAAACTACTTCAAAGTTAAAATTACTTTACAATTTATATTAATTTGAAGTTGTTTATAATGAAAAAATTGCGAGTGCGCTAATATTTTCTGGAAGCACTGTATATATATATAATATATATATATATATATATATATATATATATATATATATATATATATATATATATATATATATATATATATATATATATAACATTTTGATTTAGGGATTTGCACATGAAAGCAGTCAAAATAGTAGTATTCCTGCTTCTCTGCTTCTCATAATGTGCAAGCTATCTTTTGTGTTTATGGAAAAGACTATTGACCAGTTTGTAAGTAGTTTATTTAAGTTTTTATATTTTAAAGACAAATATAAAGTGTGCAAGCAATTTACAACCGAACACGATTAGAATAATTACATTAATCCTAGTTATGATGTCATCATAATATTCAACCTAAAACTTTGAATATTAAAACTCTAGAGCTGATCATTTATAAAAAATGTTTAAGCTTGGTTTCTAATAGTTTTAGAAATGTTGTATATCAGTTGCGTATGCAACCTCTGTTTTACAACATAAATTTAGTTGCACAACTGACGTTAAGTTGTGCAGGTTACGCAAGAAAGTATTTCCATTATAAAACATTGTTGTACAACTGTTGTACGACATTTCTACAACTATTGGAAACCAAGCTTTAGTACTTCCTTATTTCTTTTGTTTGGTTAATTTTTTTTTTTGGGAGAGGGAAATTCAAGGCTTAATTGTTTAAAATTTACATATTGCTTATTGTCTGGTTATATAAGATTATTTTCTAGATGTGAAATATAATGGAAATAATTATAATAAGAGCTTAATAAAGTATAAAATTCCCACATTTGATCAACGTATATATTGATCGATATATAGCTTAGCTATGAATTCATAAAAATTGAAATAATCTTGAATGCTAAGTGTTGTATTTATAGCTTAAAAGAATTGCTGAAACTATAAGATTAAAATGATCACAACTATTCCATTCTGTCGAGTATGTTGTTCTGTAAACTATCATATTTACTTTTTGTTGGTTTAATTATTATAGTATTTTTAAAAGCAGATTGAATATGCTATGTACATGCAGCTAATAAAATTTACTTGTTAAACTTATTCATTACAAGTTTTTTTTGTTTATGTTGTGTTTATGAAAAACAGACATTGATACTTAGGTTGATTTTCCAAATTGCTCTTTTCTTATTTAAATTTGAAATAATGGAAATTGTGTCAGATAAAAAGAAAAAAAAATATTATACATATGTGTTTATATATTTTTATTATAACTTCTATAAAAAAAATTAAAATCCAAAGTTTTTAGATTTGCCCTCACGAAACAAATTAAATGTTTCGTTTTTTAGTTACAAAATGCTGAATCGTGGTTTCCTGTTGATGATGAGATCAAGCAAGGCTGCATTATAACTAAGTCTTCAACACTGCAAGACATGTACAAAAAAACCTCACATGTATTTTATAGTGTTTTTGTTTGTTTGTTTTTTATTTATTTATTTGTAAATTTGATGTTGTTCAATTTTTTTTAATATTTTTTTTAGCTTTTATTGAATCAATATGTAAGCACCCAGGGTCTTTCAATTTCTCAAGTATTTTTTTTATTATTTCAGATTTTAACAGTTCATTTTCAGAGTTTTGTTACAATTAGGGTTACATTACATTTAGGAGTTATTTCATATGATTTTTTCTTTTATAACTTGGCAGATGTTGCGAAAGAGTGTTGAAACACGTGACTGGTTAAATACAATTGAACCGCGTAATGTCCGCGCAGTAATGAAAAGAGTAGTTGAAGACATTACTATTATAGACTCTCAAGTAATTATGTTCTGTAGCTGATAAACTTTATAAATCATGCAGTGGCGTAATTTTTTAACAGCATCCTTTATATTTAGGTGGGAACATTATTAGCTGAAGGCGTTAGAAAGGCACCTAGCTCCGATTCTAGTAAACGAACACACAGTATTTTGCATACAGCGCAAAGGAATCAAATGAATTACGGGAAAAAGTATTTTTTTTAATAATTTGTTATTATTTATTAAATTCTAATTATCTTTATATATATATATATATATATATATATATATATATATATATATATATATATATATATATATATATATATATATATATATATATATATATATATATATATATAACTTTCAAACGACCAAATAAACTTTTCTGTTTTTCTATATTTCTAATATCTAAGTATGTTTGCTAAATTTATAAAGACCATTTTTATTTTTAAAATAGGTTACTTTAAAAAACTTTGCGTAAAGTTTTGTTGTTTTATGTTTTGGTTATAGTTTAAATATAGACACCAGTCTTATGAGCAACATACAAAAATTGTTTACCGAACGCATTGAAGTGTTTACTGCGGTGGACTTCAATAAAATTTCTGTATTAACTGGAATTATAAAAATTGCTTTAAAGGTGTATTTTAAAATGCATTTTCTTGAAAACTTATTAAATAATAATAATGATAATAATAATTATTGTAAATATTTTCAGACGGCGCGTAAAATATATATATATTTTTTAACTTTCAGACGTTAGTTGAATGCATTCGTTTACGAACTTTCAGTAAATATGGTTTGCAGCAAATTCAAGTTGACACACATTATTTACAAATGTATTTATGGAGATTTGTGCATGATGAGAAGTACGGTTTTCAACTTATTTTTTTACATTAAAATTTTCACAATACAAATAAAATACCCAGTGACGTACCTAGAACTTTTGCCACTCTTTTTAAGCCATTGAAATGGCGGTTTTTTTAAATGAATAAACAAATAATTAAAATTGAGACAAACATCAGGTTAAGAGTTTTTTTTACTATTGGAGGCCGTATTTAAATCTAGAAGTATCAACGGGACCGCGTAGTTTGATATACTATAAATTCAATTCTTATATTAACAGAAACGAGGATCACAGGTTTTCCACCCATGAAACAAAGCATTTACCTAATATAAATTGAGATTTCTTGTTAAAGAATTTCTACTAAATAAATGTTTTTTTTAATTATTAAAAAATATTAAAAATATTAATTAATATTATTGTTCATATTGTTTTAACACGATATCGGTATCAGTGATGTCTGTATTTAAGTTAAAATTAAAACTTTTAAAAAATTTGTTAAACTTTACAATGACTTGATGATAAAAAAGTATACTTAAAATCATACAATCATTTATAATTCTTAAAAATTGTAAACGAAGTGAAGTATTTCAAAACTAAAATAAATGCCGCCAGGTACAAACCGCCTTACCGCCCTCATATTATGCAATGACTTAATTATTTATGTTTTAAGCTACTTTTTCATTTTATTTTTTCAAATTTATTTATTAGTATAGTTCATTTTTTGCTCGATGAAGCAATAAATAGTGCAGTACATCGATGCATCGAGCCTGAAATGATGGAACCAAGCGTAAATATAAATTTTTTTCTTATTTTTTTTTATCAGGTTGTTTTGGTGTTGGTTGGTTATGGACTTTTTAATATGATTTTTTATAATTTAGGTTGTGGAAATGATATGCGAAAAAAGCTAAATATGAATATGAAATGATGAAAATGAACATGAAAAAGCTAAATATAAACGTCGTGATGGTTTTAATTAGAAAAAGAAAATTCTTTGCATCGTTATGACGTTTAAATCATAGGCTTTTGAGCAAACGAAGAGAAAAATTTATGCATCGGAAGTTATTTTTGTTTTTTGTTTAGCTAATAATATTTATATATTGTATATTTGTTTATGTATTTTAATAATCCGGAAAATAAAGTTCATCAATTATAACGAATTTTTTTGTTTGTTTTTTTTTCTTTAGGTTCTTTGATTTTAAGTTTATTATGTTTTAAAATTTCATAATATTTGCACTATTACATTAAAAGAGGAAAAGATTTTTTCGAATGGTTTTCCTTAAACTTATCAATGGTAATTAATAATCCGTCCGTTAATTCTGTCCACTTTGTGATCTTATTTCTAGTGCACATTTGATTTTTGCATAATCAATTATCTGAACGTTTGCCGTTTTATAAACTTCTATATGTTCTTTTTAATACTCGATTGGAAATAAAATTTATATTTAAAATGAAATTTAGCATATGTCGTACATAAAACGCTATGCAATATTTATTATGGTCTTCAATCAAAATGAATTAGAGACAACTTACTGTTGGTTTATGAACTGAGTTTAAATTATGTTTTTTTAAAAAAGTTAATTTTATTTTTTGGGATCAGAAGGTTAACCTGCAAGCTAAGTTTTTAAATTTCTGATTAAGTAGAATTTTCTCTTTTTTCAAAAAAAGAAAAAGTATTCTGAAGTTGTGTATTGTTATTTTCTAATCACGTGATCCATAGTCTCTGTATATTTAGAGTCACCTGATCAAAACAATCATTTGGGCTTGTTTTTGGGTGAAAATCGAAAAATTAATATTTCGGGACACTTTCAGTATTAATAAAGATGGGGGATATTTGTTGCAAGCAGCTTTTATTTAATGGTTTTTTTTATCCGTTTTAATTTGAATTTTCTTTGTACAAATTGTATTTACATTACTTCCATTGAAGGTGATTAATATTCGAGTAAAGTGGAATAAAAAAGAAAGTTAGCTACATGAGTAACTCTGTGATTTTTGTTATTAATGCCGTTAACAAAATTATGGGAACGGATTACGTCTTGCTGGAAACTCAACTTTACAAAAAAAATACTACTAAACTCTGTTAAAACAAGCATCATTTTTCTTTTGCTATTAAATATGGTATCTTACAGTATAGCTTATAAAAATGTGACTATTAAAATTGACAAAGTAGTAGAAATAAATAATAGTATAAATATATTTTTGAAGCAAAAACCTTTCCCAACGGGAGATCACCAACAAAGTTTTCGAAGCGTGAAGAATATTGCGAATATTGAAAATAGTTCTTATAATAATTATTTAGACAATTATGTTCATAAGCTTTCATTTCTTAGGGACCCTAACAAAAAAGACAGTGTTAGTATAGAAAAAAAGAGTAAAAATTCTCCGTTGAAAGAGTTGTCGTCGTCGTGGGCCATACGTTTGTTAACTGAATTAGACAATGAAAAAACTGTTTCAAAGATAGCTCAGGACTTGGGATTAATCAGTCACGGAAACATCGGGCACCTTCCTGGACATTATTTACTTGTCCATCATACTTTTTATAATCATTCTCCTGTAGTTGAACGTCGTATAAAAAACCTACGTTCTTCAATAACCTCTAGCCTAAGAAATCATCCTCATGTTCATTGGGTACGACACGAGGAGGTTTTAAAACGATATAAAAGGTCACTTCAATTTAAAGATCAGTTTTTTCCATCACAGTGGCACTTGGTAAGATTTTCTTTTTTCTTTTTTTAAATAGAAACTTAAAAAAACTAATATTCAATTAAAAAGAAAAAAGTTTTATATTGCTAATCCAAATAGCATATTATGATTATTGTGTAAATGAGTCAATTTTCGATTTATGGTTAAAAAACAAACTTTATTATTTCACTTTTCATGATTTGAATAATAAAAATCGTTAGAGCATTGACGTACCAACAACTGTTCTAACCTATCCACACGCCCTCTTATAAAATGATTTAATTAAAATTAGATAAAATTAGATTTTTTACGACATGAATAATTTATTTTTATTAGTTTAAAAAACTCTCATAAATGTTTAATTGAGTTATGTACTACATATCTTTCATAAATGTTGGGGTTACTACAATATACTGATTAATTAATAGCGTCTGGGGAATAAGTTATTATAAAAAGAGATTTTCCCACAGCAAAAAAATTGTGTAATGCTTAGAAATCATAGCAAAGGTTTGTGCTGATATCTTTTGATTTTTTTAAAAATCTCTAAAAAAATGTGTCAAGACAAAAAGTGTTGCAACTCCTTGTTTAAAAGGTGTCTGTATAATTTGTTTTTATGAAGTTTTTAATTTTATTTTTAAATAGTTATAAAAAAACGATAATATTTATAACAGACAAAATTAAAATAATTCAATAAAATTTTTTTGTAATTTACCTAATACAAATTACATTCACGGTTATTGAAATTATTAAGTTTAACAATTTTAACAGCCTTCTTTGTGTGCTAAAAAAATTCTTTGCAGTGTTTCGAGCAGTCGCGGCGCAATAGATAGAGCGCTAGCTTCAGAGTAGTCCAAAGTCTGATGGCTTTTCCGGCCATATATGCAACATGGAAAAAAAAACGATTGCTGAGTTTCCTCATCAAGTGCTTTTCTACAGTGACATGATTATTATGTCTTCCTAGAGCACATTAATAACCATAAGAAAAATAGGATACAATAAAAGATTTTATTGTCAAATGGTTTTTGAAGTTCAATGTTTTTTATTGTTTACTTGTAGTTTATTAAATTTAATAGAAGAGAAGTTTATTAAATTTAATAGGTGGTAAAAACAAATTAATTAGGTTTAATAGGTAACAATAACTTTTTGATTAAATTTAATAGGCAATAATAACACGTTAATTAAACTCAATTGGCAATAGAAACTCATTAATTAAGTTCGTTAGATAATAATATAAACACTTTTAAAATACCACAAATTTTGGCCCCGCAGACTTTTATGTTCTGATATATTGCTAGAGTATGCATCAAACCTTGGGTCTATTGATTCTGAAGCAAGCGCTCTAGTTTCTGCGGTGTGTCTAAATATATGTTTTTATCCAATCCTTTCTCGGCATTTTAAAGTCATGGGATAAAAAACAACAACTAATATATGCATTAATGCAGATATTAAATGCATTTAATCTGAAATAATTGTAGCCGTGGCGCAGTGGTTACAGTTCTGCCTTGGAACCAAAAGGTTCGCAACCAAGAGGTTCGACCCGGCCCAAAATGCGACATTAGTAAGAAAGGGGGCATGAACCTCCTAGTTAAATGCTCTTTCACGGTTCTCTGTGAGAAGACTGTAAGGACTTTTAAGAGCACCTTAATGACCACACACTCAAGAATAAAAAAAAAAAGAAATTTAAAAAGAATGAAAACATGTTTTCTCGTCACCGTTTGTAAACAAGAAAAAAAAAGTATATATCTACATATTACTTAAAAGTATAATTTAAATTTATCACAGTCAAATTTTATTTGGTTAACTCAAATAATACTTAGATAACTCAAATAATAAATATCTTTTTTCCAACAATGTTTGTTTATATTTGCAACTTCTAAACGCATGTTCAACCTGTAAAGTAAAATTTTGTAAACACACTGCAATTAAAGTTAGATTTTAGCAATCATTTCGAGAAAATAAGCAATTTTGAAATCAATATAATATTAGATATAAAATATTTTCTTAAGTTTTCAGAACGTTAGGCTATCAAAATAGTAGTACGATTTAGTATACAAGTCGGTTAAGTATAAAGACTTGTCTCAGAATTCAACTCTGTCTTTACTCCGCGTAAAACTCATATCTGTCTTTGAACCTCTTAATACAATGTAATAAAGATAAACAGAAAAAACAAACAAACAAACAAAACATACTGAAACTTGTAAAACATGACATTCAATAATCAGGTTAAACGGCTTAGGCTGCGCATTTAGACTGAGGTTTCAGTAAGCCGTTGTTGCTATCATAGCTTAGTAGGTATGATAGCATTTTGCTTTATCACCAATAATGAGAATTACCTATGATTTCCTTACTTCATTATATAAAATGTGAACAATTCTTAATAGCTTCCATTCAATTTAAACATTAAACTTTTTTGAATGCAATGGGTTTCCATACCTTCCCGAGCCTAGTTAACCAATAAGATGTTCCCGAGCCTAGTTAACCAATAAGATGTTCCCGAGCCTAGTTAACCAATAAGATGTTCCCGAGCCTAGTTAACCAATAAGATGTTCCCGAGCCTAGTTATCCAATAAGAATATTCAGTGCAAAAAATATTTATCTCTAAAAGTATACCAAGTTGGATCTCAAAAGTAGAAAAACTTCATAAATAATTAAAAAAAATTTAATCTTTTAAATAACATTCAGTTTTTAAAATTTTATTGTTAAAAAACTGATACTTTTAAACAAAAATAGGACTTTTTATGACGTTTTTTCTCACAATACCTTCTTTAAGAAGGTTATATTTGAAAAACATCGTTATTTATGAAATCTTTCTAAAATTTCACTTCTTTCGAGGTTCAACATTTTTTGGTAAAATAAGACAGTTGAATAAAATAAGTTGTGGGCTAAATGATTCCGATTGTCTGGAACGTGAATAGGAAAGTTGACTATTTATGTTAGAGATTGAGAAACACAAAAGTTGCGGGGTTCCACCATGCCATTGAGTGTCTTTGTGTAGAATT